TCTCAGTTTATCACCTATGATCGTTTTTCACCATCCTATAGGTCCTAGTCGGCATGTATCTCTACTATATCTATTCCTAGGTCTATCCAGGAAGCTCTTGCAGTACCTGAGTGGAAGAATGCAATGGAGAAAGAGATGGGTGCTCTCATTAAAAATAAGACCTAGGAGTTAATTGACAAGCCAGAAGGGAAGAAACCAGTTGGGTGCAGATGGGTGTTCACTGTGAAGTATAATGCAGATGGCTCAGTTGAAAGGTATAAAGCTCGGTTGGTTGCAAAAGGGTATACTCAAGCTTATGGCATTGACTACCTAGAAACCTTTGCACCTGTTGCCAAGATGAATACCATTAGATTTCTGCCATCCCTTGTAGCAAAATTTTCATGGCCTATGTTTCAACTGGATATCAAGAATGCTTTCCTTAATGGTGATTTGCAGGAGGAGGTGTATATGGAGTTACCTCCTGGGTTTTATGATGAAGCTATAGGGAAGAAAGTTTGCAAATTGCAAAAGGCCCTATATGGTTTAAAACAATCTCCAAGAGCCTGGTTTGATAGATTTAAATTGGCTCTTGAAAGTTTTGGTTATGTACAGGCCCACTCCAATCACACTCTCTTCATTAAGAGAAATGGTGCTTCTCTCACCCTTCTTGCATTGTATGTTGACGACATTGTTGTGACCGGTTGTGATGGTGATGAGATTGATTCTCTCAAGCAATTGCTTAATAAGGAATTTGAAGTGAAAGACCTTGGTGACCTGCAATATTTCTTGGGACTTGAAGTGGCCCACTCTAGACGTGGTATCTTCATTTCACAGAGGAAATATATCCTTGATCTCCTTGAGGACACTGGGAAACTAGGAGTTAAACCAGCAGACACACCTATTGAATTGAATCATAATATAAGTGTCGAAGGGGGTGAGCCTCTTGAAGACAAAGCCATGTACCAACGATTAGTCAGAAAGCTCCTTTATCTATGTCTTATTCGTCCTGACATATCTTATGTTGTTAGTGTTGTCAGCCAATACATGCATTCTCGTAGAACCACTTATCTATTGGCTGTGGAAAGAATCCTTGCTTACTTGAAGAGATGTCTAAGTCGTGTATACTCTTTAAAAACAATGGTCATATGAAAATCGAGGTGTATACTGATGCTGATTGGGCCAGATGTTTTGATGATAGAAGATCGACTTCAAGGTACTGTCCTTTCGTTGAAGGTAACTTAGTGTCATGACGTAGCAAGAAGCAAAATGTTGTTGCTCGTTCAAGTGCTGAGGTAGAATACAGGTTCATGGCTCATGATGAGGCTGGAGTGTTATGGCTGAGATCTCTTCTTGAGGAACTAGGGATTGAGTATGAGAAGCCATTGAGATTGTATTGTGATAATCAAACTGCTATAAATATTGCTCACAACCCCATCCAGCATGGCAGAACTAAACATATTGAGGTTGACCATCACTTCATCCGAGGGAAAGTTGCTTCTCAAGATATTTTCTTGTCCTATGTTGCCTCTGATTTGCAGCTTGCTAATCTCTTCACCAAAGCAGTCACCAAAGTCAAATTGGAATCAGATTTGTGCAAGTTGGGAATGATCAACATCTATTCCCAACTTGAGGGGGAGTGTAGTGATACAGTGGACCAGATCTGATATATTTACTTGTGATTCCATAAGTTCAGTTTTTTGTTGCTTATTTTTGTTTTATACTTGCTTTCTTGTACTGTTATAGGTAGCAGGGCATTTTTGTCCTTTTACCTAATGCTTTGTTAAACACATATAAATAATACTGCTTAGGGCGGCAGTAATAGAACATTCTGCCCCCATTCCTCTCCTATTCTTCTTCTCTCTTCTCTTTCGATTTCTGGGTTATTTTTCAACCTAAAAGTTCTGCTAACAGCAGTAGCTTAAAGTAAAATAAAAACATATATTGACATTATCAATTTGTACATGCCAAGGCACACCATAGGAATGCTGTCATGGAATTTAATTTTGCCCCTTTTTGGATGTTATCCTCAGATCTTCAGTGTGCAGGTTGTCAGCAGTTACACTCCAATATTCAATGATCTTAGACTCACTGAGTTGCACTTACTGCTGCACCAACCATATCCTCCAAATATGGCCCAAGTCTCGAAAAAATAAAGAAAACAAAATAGAAAATAGCTGATCAGTTCAACCAGAGATCTCTGGTTTGGCTTGTATAGGAGCCTGGACCAATGAAGCAAGTTCAATATGGAAAATATTCCTGCTTCCCTTTTTTATGGTTTGAGGGTGGGGTGTGGATGGCTTTTATTTTGTTGGATATGTTTATATCATACTGGAGTCCAAAACTGATGGTTTCTATTATTTCCATATGATCAACTTCCATATGGAACTCCATATGTAGAGTCCAAATCTGCTATTCAATGTTTTAAAATGCAGAGGTGTGACGCGAGGTGTTCTACTACCCAGAAGTGTGAGACATAGTTCGGAATGTAAGAGGTGTAAGCTTCCCAAGCACAAGGAGGCATAAGCCTCCAAAAGAGGAGGAAGAAGAAGAAGAAGAAGAAGAAGAAGAAGAAGAAGAAGAAGAAGAAGAAGAAGAAGAGACGTGTGTGAGGTGTACACCTTGATCAATGTTCTCAAAATCATAATTGTATCATAAATTGTAATGAAAGTTGAATTGAATCAAATCGTAAACTGTATCATAAATCATAAGATAATTTCTATTTTTGACAAACTTGTCAAAAAATAAAGATTGATATACTAAAAGGATAAATATAAAAAGTGATTTTACCCTATTTTTAATCTATATCTACCATATATGTACCTAAAACAATAGAATTTACCACTTTTGCAATAGAAGCCTAAGATGATATAATCAAGCTTGACTTGAAATTCAAATAATCCACATATAATGGCTTTTTAACCTACATATGATGGAAAACAAACTCAATGTTTGGTCTTACATAACATAAATAAACCATTTTCTAGTTAGGGCTTTAAAACAAGTCAATATGGCTCTACTGTCTAAGTGGTCATGGAGGCTTGCTTCTAAAAGTGATGCTCAAACGAGTACCTTGATCAAAAGTATGAGGAAGCTGGTTTTGGGTGGGAATCAGGTTCAGTGAACGAGCCATATGGAATAGACTTATGGAAGGAAATAATTCACAACAAAGACTCCTTTAAATTTGCTTCTTTCAAAACCAGGATCAGGTGGAAAAATCCTCTCTTGGAAGGACTGGTGGTGTAGTAATAGCCCCCTTTACACTGCTTTCCCATCTATTTGTGCTTTAGCCCAAGATAAGGATGCTAGAGTTTGTGAGTGCTTTGAAACCAATGCCAATCAGATAATTTAGACTCCTCGGCTAAGAAGGAATGTAGATGATGATTGGGATATGGATGCATTTTTAGCTATGTTCCAGTCCCTAGAACAGGTTAAGCTGCAGCCTATGATTGAAGATGGAATTTGGTGGCCCTTTGAGAAATCTAGTGTTTTCACTGTTAAATCGATGCCTTTTCTTGTAACTTGTCTGGAAGCTGATCTTCCTCCATGAACTTGGTTTTGTAGTGTCAAGGTGCCTTCGAAGGTCTTGTTTTTCCTTTGGGTAGCTATTAAAGGTAGAATACAGACTATCGATACACTGAAAAAGAAAGGAATGTGCATTGTTAATTGATGCTGCTTGTGTGGACATGCTGAGGATGACATCCAACATCTCCTTATCAATTGCAATTATTCTTACAGCTTGTGGTTCCATGCCTCGAAGCTTTTTGGTGTGAACTGGAACTCCCCCCCTAACATAGAAACTCTAATATCCTCCTGGCAGCTGAATGCTTTTAGTAAAAGGGGCAGGGTCTTGTGGAACATAATTACTTTTGTCGTCTGTTGGTGTATCTAGAAGGAAAGAAATGGTGTTTGTTTGAAGACCAGTCCTTTCCTATCAATAAGCTGCAGGGTCAAGTGGAAAGAAGCCTGATCAAATGGGCATTGATCAGTAATCTATTTAGTGATTTCTAGTTCAGCCATTTCTCTAATCATTGGAATTGTATTTTGTGGGAAAGTGGCTTTGTTTTGTAAGACTTTTGTCTTATACTGAAGTTTTCATTGCTATTTTCCTTGGTTGGGAAGGAAATCTCTCCCTCAACAGTCTTTTTTATCCATTTATAAATAAAATCTTCACCATTTCTCAAAAAACAAGTCTCCATTAATGACAAAGTAGAGAATTAATTCTTAGATGAATTTATTTGATTCTTGGTGAACTACAGGTATCATATAAATTGTAAGACTTACGAATCAAATTGTAGGATTTAAGTGCATGAAAGGAAACATAAGATTTAAATCTAAACCCTTGGGATTCACAATTCAAATCATGAATCATATTGTAAATTATAAGACCTCAAACACCTGACGCATATGCCTCAAAGATATCGGTGGTGCCTTTGGCATGTACCTCAGGGCATTTTGGGGGCGCCTCACCTATAGATGCACCTCCAAGCATACACCTCCCACGCCTTCTAAAACATTGCTTCTATTTACCTATTAGTTGGATCCATGGCTAGATCCCAAAAGAAATGTGCCAACTATTCTCTTACCATGTGAATGCAGACTATGTGCAAAAGATGTTCTATGTTTTTTAAATTGAATGAGCGAATCATGAAGATGTGGATGAATCATGGAAAGTGAATGTGTGTGAATGCAGGTAGCACACGTGGCCTGCATTCACATAGTTCTAGGACATGCAATGAATTGCTCTTCAGGTTCTGGCAATGAAACTAGCAAATTGATATCCAGCAGATCTGGGCTCTTCATATGGATGTCTTGGTTGACTAAGTTTCCATTCACTATGTTTGGGTTCAAATATTGTTAAATATCCTAGCTTGAATTTACTTTTTACTATTTTCTAGAGGTTTGGTATGTCTGATGACTTGGGTTGATTCAAATAGTAACTTCACATGCGTATAACCTGGATATTGAGAATTGCTCCTCTTCACGCTTTCACTTTGAAGCTTGGTTTTGTACATCTGTCTCAGGAACTGAGATAGACTGGTGCGATGGAGCATGGTTGAATACTTAAATGCTGAAGTACAAGATGTATAGCTTTTCTATTTAGAGCCAACATTGTTGGAGATTACCTGACCATTTATTGAATGGATGAAGTTTGGTCTTCATGAGGGTTTGAAGGCATAGCCTTTACTATCTATCAGTTCCTGGTATCCTGCCACTCCTTTTCGACTGAAGTTTTACTTTACTTTTTTAATGTCTCGGTCATTCCTTTTCCAACTGTATGTAAGGTGGGTACTGGAGCTAGAGATGTCATGACATTTATTCCTTCTCAGTTCATGATATTCTGTTACTCCTTTTCTTGCTGATGTTTTACCTGACAATTTTAATATCTTTGTCATTCCCTTAACATGCATGTGGTGCACTTTCACCATTTATTTCTGTTTCTTGTTGATAGATAAATGATAAATGTTTCAACCAAAGGCAGTCCCTAGTTCAAATCTAGCAAGCAGCAACTTATTAGTTCATGCACAGAACATGGATAATAGTGTCAGTGCAGTGGCTCACTGCAGTGGAGGGAGTAGTCTCAACAACAACACTAACAGCTCTACCATAGCATCCAGGCAACGACTACGTTGGACAAATGAGCTTCATGAACGCTTTGTGGATGCTGTGACCCAGCTTGGGGGCCCAGACAGTATGTTCTTTTATTTCCATTCTTAAGTTTCAAAGATCCATTTTTCGCTGTATAGCTTCCTCTGTTATTTTCTTATTTTCTGGTAGCTTTCAAGAAATATTTCATGAAAGGTTGCTTGTTTTAGGAGTCTAAATCTGCTGGAATTTAAACTGCTTGCACACCAACCACAATGAGACACCTATAGGAGCTCATGGAGACCAAGACACACATGATAGAAGCAGAGAGAGAGAAAGTGGTGGTTGCGCGTAGGAGATGGGGAAGAAGCAGAGAGAGAGAGAGGGTGAGGGTGAGGGTGAGAGCACAGTGAATGATTCTCTCCTCTCCTTGTATCCTGCTTTTATGCAATATCATGCCAGGGGGAAGTTGACACCACTACATAAACCAATTGATTGCCAATAGGAAAAATCTTATTCCTGCAAGAAAAAAATTTGCACTTGGATTCTTCAATCCCGTCAACTCCATGAACAGATACTTTGGAAGAACTCGTAGTACTGGGCAGAGAAGGAAGGACTGTCTAGTTTACAAACATTTCATTTGCCTCCTATAGTTACATTTCTGTTCCTGTAGATACAGGTAATTTTGTCTTGAAATAAGATATCTCCAAGAATTCAAGCTTTAACCACCCAACAGTTTCTGATTATGGGAAGATGTGATCAACCCATCTTTGGGGTGTTTCACATATGGAGCTGATCCTTAAGGGATAAACCACTTTCTGGTATCATGCAGTTTGTTTTCATACCAGAGGACTGGTCCATGGAATGAGAGAAGGGGATTCAGATACCAGTGGCAGAGAGAATTTCCTCTCTCTTCAGGGTTGGCCATGGTGTGTAAATGAAGAGGATGAAGTGCTCTCCTCCCTTCAATGTTCTCGTCCAAAGAAGTAGGCTTTAGTGATATGTGCTTGGGCTTGCATGCACCCAAGGTGCTGCACGAGTTTAAGACAGGTGGAAATTCCTTATTCATGTACAGTGTACCAGTATTTTATAGCAACTAAATTGTGGCAGATCCAGACTCTTGTTTTAGATTACAGGCTAATGCCATACAAGCAAGGTTCAAATTTTCACAACGTATCAGGCCGTATAGGCCAATACGTATCGTTCTGAGTCTTCTGACAAGAGCCCGATACGTGGAACGTGTAGAAATCATCCGTTCCATTTCTTTTTGTATTTGTCACACCGATACAGGCCCGTATCGGGCTGTTTCGGCTCTGTATTGGCCAATAAGGGTCCGAAACAGTCCGATACAGCCTGATACACTTGATTTTTTTTTGGTGCCCTTCATTCATTAATCTCTTTAATTACTGCTATAGAATTAATTAGTCAATTACTCCTACTTTAAATTTAAATTTGAATTTTAGCACCTAATTTGAATTCTCTTATTAATTCCACTAATTAATGATGCTCTCTCATTAATTCCGCTAATTAATGATCTTGTCTCATTAATTTCGTTTTGTTATTGATACTCTTATTAATTCCACTAATTAATAATACTCTCTCATTAATTCTGCTAATTAATGATCCTGTCTCATTAATTCCATTTTGTTAGTATAAAAACTAGACTTTAAACAATGGCAAGATTCAAACCTTAGTTACTAGGTTTTAACAACCGTAAGTCACCACTAGGCCACGCCCATTTTTTTGTTATGGTCATATGCATTATTATTTTTAAGTAAATTTTCTCTTTTCTTAATGGATACTTATTAATAAATGCTAGAATTAATTATTAAAATTTATATACTAATAAATATTAACATTAATTGATGTACACACATAACATTTATATTGATTATTTGAAAATTGATGTATACAGATTCATATTTTAGTTTTTTTTTGTTTTTAACATTTTATTTAATCCATCATTTTTCAATAGTTATTAATTGTAATTATTTACAATTAAATGATTGTAAATATGGATTTTTACATTTAAATAACTTATTTACATCATTTCAAACTTATAATTATTGTTTGTAATATATTTTTTAGGATGTATTTGAATTTCCTAACATATGTATACGTATCTTAAATTTTCGTCCGTATCTATGCGTATCCAAAGCATATCCCGATATGTCTCTTAAAATTGTCTTTCCGATACACCTTGCGTTTCCGATACTTTGAACCTTGCATACAAGATAAAAAGGGAGAGAAAAATGAATAAACAGTCTTCTGTGATTAGCTTATGCTTCATAAGTCAGACCCTAGCATCATTCTTTACCAATGTTTTAAAGTGCAGAGGTGTGATGTGAGGTGTTCCACTATCCTGAGGTGTACACCTCCACCATGCGCCTCAAGGTTTTCCCCTATGCCTTGTTTGGAGGCATGCCTCAGGGCGTAAGCCTTTTAAAACATTGTTGTCTATCAATTTCTGGATTCATGCAATAAATGACTTGATGTTGCATTGGGGATATTTCTTCCTGTATTCATATCCCCTGATATTTTTTATAAATAACAGTGAAATTTTCATTCAGTGAAACCCTGGCTACCCAAAAAGCTGGATATCAAGAGAGAAGAACAATGCCCAGTTCAACATGTAGTAAAATTTGAAGGCATGAGACTTGATCAAACTCTTCAGAAAACTCAACTAAAAATGAGGAATTCTGAAAATCTCAACTGAGCAGGCAGCTTATGTTATTGATGGTGCTTGTGTATAATCATGCCATGTCATAAGAGGTTTCTTTTTCTTCTTCTACAGGGGCTACTCCTAAAGGTGTTCTCAGAATCATGGGTGTACAAGGTTTGACTATATACCATGTCAAAAGCCACTTACAGGTAATTTAATCTAGTAGTAAGTACCTTCATTTGATAGGTTCTTTCCTCTTCATATTCATTGGTTTTTTTAAGACTAATGATGTTATCCTTGTATATTCAGAAATACCGGCTAGCAAAATATCTCCCAGAGTCTACATCTGATGGTATGTATAGCATCCCGGTGTTCTGTAAAAAGTATGCCAAATGTTGTACCTTTGAGTATCTATAGGTAGTTGTATCAAGGTGTTGCCTTAACACCTTTTTTCAATGTATCTTTTCATTTTTTATTTATTAATAAATTTCTTTTCCCAGACACCTAGATCAGAGTTTGGTGATTGATTTTTGGAATCTATTGAAATGCCAAATGTTGTACTTTTCAATGTATCTTTTTGTTTTTTATTTATTAATAAATTTCATCTGTTTCTGCTATAAAAAATGCTAAAATAGATTCTCCTCTGAAGATAATTTTATGATACTTGCCTTTGAAATGCCAAATGTCGTACCTTTTGAATATCTATAGTTAGTTGTATCAAGATGTTGCTTTAACACTTTTTTCAATGTATCTTTTCATTTTTTGATTTATTAATAAATTTCAGTTGTTTCTGCTATCAAAAAAGTATGCTAAAATAGATTCTCCTCTGAAGATAGTTTTGTGATACTTGCCTTTGAATGCAGTTAAGAAGTCTGAGAAGAAAGAGCCAAGTGAATTACTTTCTACCATTAGTAGTTCTTCGTAAGTAAAAGATTTGTATTTCTTTTTCCTTTTGTGGTTCAAATTTCTAAAAGTGCTTACATTTTTGTGGAAGCTGAATAGTAGGAAGTCAAACCAAATCTTTAGCTGTACAAATATACAGGGATGCCTATTCTAAGTTCTTACTTCAATTCCATTCTCTTCTTATATGGGGTTTGGGATTACACTCCTCACCCAATTAATAGTCTCAATAAGCTAGGACTGTCAACGGGTTGGATCTGGGTCAGTACAGGGTAGAACCGCAACCGACCTAACAAGAAATGTCAAGGTCCAAGAACCAAACCAGACCCTATAGGGTAATTTTAGACCCAGAACCAAACGGTTCTCAGGACAATCAGGTCTGACCTGATGGGACCACTTATAATAAACCTGCCAAAAATATTATAATTTAGTATACATATATATATATATATAATATATTATGCATTTAATATATATGGCTTGGGTTGGGTCTGAGTCGGTCGGGACTGGGTAGAACCAATCCTGAACTGATAATAATCGGGACAATAGATTAGGAACTGGAACTGACCCATTGGTACAGATCCTGGAACTAGAACCAGCCCGATCGGTTTGGGCCCATCGGGTCAGGCCTGACCCATTGACAGCCCTACAATAAGCACCTGTTCTCTGTGTTGAGGGCAACTACCAAACCTGGTTTATAATGTGAAAAACTGACTAGCTCATGCTTTCCTTCCCTACTGGGCTGCAATTCAATTTTTACTTGATGTATTTGGAGACTGGGTTGACTGCCCACCAAACTGACCACTCATTTAGGACTTGTCCACAATTAGATGGATAACCCTAACAACCTAATCCATTACATTAATCCTTAAAGAATATGGAAATCAGTTGTGGAATAATAATCATAATTGCAGTCATCTTGTGGAGCTATTTATCTGTATTCTATGCAGTTTTTCTGGTTTACTTAAGAGATCTATGATCTCAGGTCAAGAATTTTATTTACCATTTTTTATTGTTAATTTGTTTTATTTACCTTTTTGTAGTGGTATGCAAATAACAGAAGCACTAAAGTTGCAGATGGAAGTCCAAAAACGGCTGCATGAACAATTGGAGGCAAGTCTTTTTCCTTACGATTCTTGGCAATACCTATCTAAGAAGGGCCATTACCCAATGTTGGTCTGAACTATCTGGGGCCTTTTGGGTCAATTGGATGTGGACCTAACCTTTGGCTTTCTTTTCTTTTTTCACAAAGTGACTTCTCTCAGACTTGGACCTGCACTCCTACCTTGTCAGCCTGAGATTGTACAATTTTTTTTTTTTTTGATAAATGAGAGATTTTATTAGGGAAGAGGATAGAAACAGATAACAATTACAAAAGATACTTGGAGAGACACGAGCTGTAACCTCTCCAACCCATCAAAACTAAAATATATTACAACTGTTCCCTAGTTGCCCCTTGCTTGGCTAAGCAATCAGCCTGAGATTTTACAATTTCACCAAGCAATTGAATCTGAGATATGTAAATTGTTATGATTTATCTCTGATTCATGAAGTCAAAGAGCAGGACATAATGCCCTCTAAGATGGTGTAAACTCTGGATTCATAGAAGTCTAACATGTTCTAAATTAATTAAAGAGTGCCACCTATGGACATTCCAAGGTTATCTTAGTCAAAAGCACTGCCATTGACTTAAAACATGGATAAAAATTTACATTTCACATCTGCCAAAGGAGGGAAAAAACATTTTGTGAAATGATTGTCTTTAAAAGGTATATCATCAGTCTTGTTTTCTTTTCCTTAGGTCTCCAAATGGTTCAGGTTTGAAAAAATATGATCTATATAATTATTGTACCAAATTCGGATATTCTTGATCTGATACAGACATACAAATGACTTTTTTTGGAATTTAAAGTTAAATTTCTCTAATATTAAGTCAGATTTTGGGTTTATACAAATTTATTTTTTCTATTAACAACATATATTCTTTTTGTTTTATGTTTGACTTTGTAGATTTATGCTAGTTTTATGCAGATATGCATGAAAGGGCACATGCCCATATCAGTTAAATTTTTCTCTTCTAGAATTTTCTCTTTTCTATACTCTCTCTTTCTTGATTGAATCACTACAACTTTATTATATTTTTTTCACTTTTGGAGATTCTTGAATATGTTTTATTTAAAGAAGATCAAATTGCTCTTGAACTAGCAAAACAAGAAAACCAAATCAAGATTCAAATTGATATCTGGATATCAAATTCAAAACCGTGTTCCATATATCTGTTGGACATTGAATTGAATTCAGATCCCCCAGATTCTTATCAGAATGGAGTCAGATATGCCCCTATCTGGATTTGGACCAGTCTGTTTGCAGCCCTACTTTTCCCTGAGGTTTAGGGTGCCCCTTCTCATGTCACATGGTGTTGATCCCAAATATAGTTTCTGCTATGGTCAGCATGACTAGGTTAATTATCCAATATTTCAAGCAGAAATATGTTGCTGTAAGAGGAAGATGTAGAATTCATCCAACAATTTTGAAGAATATAAATGATAAATCTTTGTACTGCCATGACTTTCCTGTCTGTTTATATGTTTATCCACCAATGTATCAGGTAAATTAGCCTTCTTTGTGTTTCCTTGGGAAAGGAAAGTTCTAAAGTGCATGCTATCTTTTCCTTTTCACTGGTGTCGGAAAATTTCCTTTTGTAAGGGGAGTAGCTCTGACCTTGCAATATTTTTCATTTGAAGAACAGGTACAGAGGCAGCTACAATTGAGGATAGAAGCCCAAGGAAAGTATCTGAAGAAAATAATCGAAGAGCAACAAAGGCTGAGTGGTTTTCTTGGGGAGTCCAATTTGATGATCCCTCCCCCTATCTCAGGTAGCAACTTTCCTGAATCTGACAAGACCGACCCATCAACTCCAGCTCCAACTTCTGAGTGCCCCCTCCAAAACAAGGCCGCCCAAGAATGTGCACCAGCCAAGAGTCTCTCCTGCAACGAGTCCATCTCTTCATATCACGAGCCACTGACACCAGATTCCGTCTGCCATGTCACTTCCCCTTCTGAAAGCCCAAAAGGTGAGAGGCCACTGAAGCAAAAGCGGGTGGGGATGGATGCAGTATCTGCTAAACCTGAGATGATCCTCACACACCAGATACTGGAATCAAGCTTGAGTTCTAGTTTCCAGCAGCCATGCTCGGGTTTCCCAATCAGAGAACAGCTTGATCCCTCGTCGGGGAGATCACACTGCAATGGAGATCAGTTTGAGAATGTTTCATTAAGAGATCTGTGATATTAGTATATGCATCCTTGCATGCAGTTTGCACTTCAATGCTATATTTTTCATTGTCTTTTCAAATGTTTAATTACATTTTATATATCAGGTAAAAAACTGTGGTTATTCATGATTCACCAATACCACTTTTTCATCTTACCAGATTAGCCAATTCACAGCATATAACTCTGGGAAATTCCATTTGGTAAGCCAATTCTTTGAAAATCAATATAGGAACCGTTAGGCGTTAGCTTCTATTTTCATGTTTAGGCTCTACTCTTTAGGGGTGAGTCTCAATTACCACGGAGGGTGACGAGATCTGCTACCAACATAAAGCATTTTAACAGGTTAATAGCACGGCATCTAACTTCATACCCAGAACATCTCCCCATGAATGTAACATACCAGTACAGGAGATGTCCCAATGTTCCTTTGGATAGTGGATACAGAGGATGGGAATTAAGGGGGCGGGGACAGCAGAGTGCACCTGAGGTCCATTGACTTGACTTTACAATGGAGAGCCTGTACTTACGTGGGTTTGATTATATGCCTTCATTTGGAGGGCCACCGTGTGACTATCTCAGCTATTGGGAAATCAATCAGATGGGTTTTCATCAAAATTCATGAGGGGTTTTGATTGGTGAAAGCCTTTGTGATATCATGTTTTTCTGGCATCGTAGATTTTTCTGCTTAAAAATTTTTCAAGGTATTCATTTTTGCATAAATAAAAACATGATTAAGGATTTTTCTAGCTTTACCATTTTAGGTCGAATCATTGTCACATCAGCATCACATAGATGATTCAACTTTAATGTTCAAAAATCTCATGTTTGCTGGAGCAGATTCAACTTGAAATGGAAACAGCACAATTTGCAATTACATTTCGTAGTATTGCAGCAGGAGGCATTGGAAGAAATGTAAAGATGGGTCCAGATGTAATAGGCACGTTAGGTAAGCACAATGAGTGAGCACATGTCCTAGTTAATGTGCCTTTCATCCAAACTTTTTGCTCCGTTAGATAGAAATTATTCATTATTTTATTATCTTTGTCAAAATAATTAAAAATAAAAACAATGAAAAAGGAAAACCTAAACGTGTTGGGAATTAGAACTCATTTACGTTCTCTTTTTTTATTGTTTTTTATTTTTAATTATTTTGACAAAGATAATAAAATAATGGATAATTTCTATCTAACAGAGTAAAAAATTTGGATGAAAGGCACATTAACCGGGACATGTGTCACACAGCTATTACGTGCTTACTCATTGTGCTTACCTAACGTGCCTACTACATCCGAACCCTATAATGATGGGCATTTCGTAGAACCAGGAAAGCATTTATGACTCACTTGTCCTATTCTCATGTAGTACTTAGGCCCCATTCGTTTGCACTAAATATGCATGGGAAAGTTGGTCAATGGGTAACTTTTTCCCATTGACTAACTTTCCTATGTTTTTTTGCATTAAGCAATGGGCCCTATAGTAAAGTTACTTTTACTTTTTTGGGTAAAACTTACTTATCTCCTAGGTGAATAAGTAACTTTCCCAGTTTGGAGAAATTTTTACAAAACATGATAAGACCATTTTATCCATTTTAATAATTAGTTTTTATGGGTAGAAATGTTATTTTATTATTTACCTACGAATCCTAAAAATCAAAAGAACATGGGTTTAGTGCACTTACCAGGTACTTGGGTAAGTAAGCTGCAATGTTGCAAATGAACAAGGCCTTTAGTGTATTTGAAACACTCAACAAAGAGATTGTTTGGCAAGTCTTTTTAGGTAGATCTTTCAATAGCTCAATAAATGAGACGCACTGAATTTTTGGGGTCTTGTCTTTAAAGATCAAGACTGATTTGTTTCTGTGGATCTTTTAGTCTACACAATACAGAAAGATCAAAAACTTTCATTTGAAATTTCTTGATTTTTTGGCTTTTTTGTCTTTTCGCATGCTTGTGGATCTTTTAGTCTACACAATACCAAATGGAAAAGGACCTTTTAAGCTTCTTGTAGACCAAAAGTATTATTCTCTGAATTTTGTGCCAAACATGTGCCTTTTTGTTCTAAGCATGGATTTCTTGAAAGCAAAAATCGTGTGCACACTTGAGAACACAGCATCCAACGGCATATTGGGATCATCTCCTCTACTTATATATGTTAAATTCATGAAGAGATATTCCCTTCCTATAGTTGGATGCCATGCTCTCGGGGTACGAACACGATTTTTGCTTTGTCTTATTGGTTTGACATTAGCTGGAATGTCATCAGCTGGAATGCAAACACCATGGTCTCTAGTCTTATTGGTTTGACAGAAAATAAGAAACAAAAAGTAAAACCAAATTACTTTCTCTATTGTTGGAATGGCACAGTGGATAATATAATTTGTATGTATACAGAAAGAAACAAATGCAGATAGCAAGAAATTGAAACAAAAAGAAAGAAAGAAAGAAGAAAGAATATCAGATTTAACATGATTTAGCTAAATTGCCTATATTCACAAACAACAGCTCGAAGTTTTGCTTCTTCACTATAAACAAGAGAAAATATAATAAAAATGACCTCACCTGTACCCAACACCACACTCCTCTCAACACTCTCAACACACTGTATACAATGTATACAATGAAATGAAAATGGAACGAATAAAACAAAAGAGGGGACCCTTATTTATACTTGTAGAGGGGTATAATAGATATTTTGAAGACTTAATACTTAAGCAGTAAAATTGTCTTCACCGCTAAGTAATATGAAAATGTGGACTCACTCGGCGGACCACCGATTTTAATTGGGCTCAGTCGGTGGGCCACCATTTTGTTAATTCGGTGAGCCACGGACTGACCCACCGATTGCACTTTTAACATTTGGTTTAACAATTTTCTTTTACTTTCTTACTTTCTGTCAAACCAAACACATTAACCTTAGAGAAAATAAACCAAACTAAGAATTTTTCCCCCTCTTTACCTTACTCTAAAAATAGGTCATTGGAGGTAAAGAAAACACCAAAACCTTGGTTGTCACAAATCAGATGCCAATCACCAGAGGAAAACAATCTAGTAGGATATATCCTTAAAATATATATTCCCGGCATGGCCCACTTTTGAAAGGATATTGGTTTTTTTGCTGGACCAGTAGAGAAGAAGGTCGGACCATGGTGAAAAACCAGCTGGGCAGATTGGGTAAGTGTTTGGAACCAACGCTCTTTTTTTATTGAAAAGTGGCACCACATCAGTGTCACATCTGAAATCCATTTCTTCGTACCACGCCTAAAGTTTGGTTATATGTTTTTCTGAAAAACTTTTTTCTCAGACAATGTCTTGAAAATCAGAAAAAAAAAATGTGATTTTAGAAAATGACTTTTTTATTTTCTCGTTTTTTACTGTTGCTATCAATTATATGCTGATGTGGTATTAAAAAACACCTATGTAGCAGCAACCAGCAATGGTCCCAAACAAAAGAGAGAGAGAGAGAGAGAGAAAGAGAAAACGGCATGTCAATGCAGTACTGTTTTCTCAAAAAACACCTCTCAAGAAACATTTAATCCAAACATGGCCCAGATTTTAGAATCCCGATTCCAAATGCCTTATTCCAAAAAAAAAAAAAAAACTTCTGTTTATTGCCCCCTTTTGTTGAGCAATGGAAATTCTGAATAAAATTTATTGGTCATATAATCTGTGCAGAGAACAAATTCAAGACAGACGCCTGAACTAGAATCAGGTGTATGGCACATACCAATTCCAAACTGCAAACCAAACAATGTGAGCAATATTTACCTATATTTTTCTTGAATGATAAATAAACAATTAATTTATGCAACTCTTGGTCTTATTTGCCCATTACGCGACATGGTACACATTAAATGACATGTCCAAACGTTGTTATATAAAATATATGTAGAGTGTCTTTTCGTGGAATCCTACCTACCATCTTGTCATCTCTCTTCAATATTGGACCGAAAACTCTGGAAAGTTCAAGTTCAATGGGTTATGGTTATGGTTATGGTTTCACTGGTTATTTGAGCGGTTAGATCGTTCAGCCCACGATTTTTTGGGAGAAGTGCATTATAGTCCATTCCAGAATTCTGAAATTACAACTCACATAGTCTAATAGTAACTCTCTCCCTATAAATCACATCATGTCCGTGAATTTGATATCAATTCACGGTTACGATTCATCCACCTGTACGGTGGAACTATAAATTTTGAGGTGAGATAAACAGTGATTCTCCCTTTCTTCAATCTTCCATGAATAATAACTAACAGCCCCATCCCATGCCTTCAAGGTCAACTGAAACCCCCCAATTCCAACACGCAAATCAATCGATGGTAGGTTGGCAGCCTCAAATATCTCTTTTGTCGGTTGCTTTCTTCTAAATTAGTCCATAGGAATGTTTTTAAGCCATCGTTGACTGTATAGTCAGACCCTCACCTTGTTGATTGGGCATTTTGGTTTTTTTTGGTTAAACCTCCGTTTGGAAGTATGTACTAGTGTTTTAAAAAAGGACCTGGATACCGAATCGTTTTTAAAACACTAGTACATATATATACCACACCTATACACATGCATAAGCATGTATTTTATCGACAAATAATATATAATTATGTTCTAATGTAATATATGTATTGTTTTATATTTAATTTATGTTTTTAATTCTGTTTTAATTTTTTTTATTTATAAAAATATTAAAATTTGTAATTTGAGGTCAAAAAAGGTTTTTGGTGAAAATAACGAGCAAGGCGCATATGGCCCTTGGAACGCATAGACCTCGAAAATTGCCCAAAATAAAAAAAAATAAAAAAATAAAAAAATCATCCCAATCGAACATTAGAGTACAAAGTTTGCATACACATTGAGTGTGCAACCCATGACCCAGCCAGGTCAAATGGGTCAATGGTCCAACTGTCTAGGTCTAATGATTTTTGACCAAGTCAATGGTTTTTGATCATCCACCGGATTTTACTAAAACCAGACCCATAATCTTGACCAAGTGATGGTTCAAGTGGTTCAACTAGTTGGCTCAACAGCGGGTTGAAAAGTGAAAACGCTGATATGTATAGTGTAAAATCTTATATTTTGTATCATTTTATATTCTTAAATCTTATATTTAAACTGTATATATTTGTATTTTGTATTGTTCTCGAACTGAACCCAAAAAAGTGCAAA